GCAACAAAAAATGTTACTTAAAGTATAATCATTTAAGGAGTCTAAAAAGCTGTGTAAAGATCATATTTACTCAGAATTCTCTTTTGTGAGAATTAAGGTAAAAAAGACCTATAGTATTTAACTGTGCATATATATTGTAGAACAAATTATTGCCACTTCTTCAGACTGCAAATATCAAATAAGATGTTTGATTTTAATATTCATAAAAATGCTAATAAGAAAACAATCCATTTCTTTTCTTTTTTCTCTTTTTATTTATTTATTTTTCCTTTGTTGTTTGTTTGCTTGTTTGTTTGTTTTGTTCGGTCAGAGAGTTGAAAGAAGAAATAAAGAAGGCAAGGGAAATAGAGGGGAAACTTAAATTCTTTTGAAAACTATAGACTTTTCTTCAATGTTTTTAATTTGCCCACAAAACAAAACTATATTCTTCCTTGTACAGGGAAAAATAGTCAAACCATTAAAACAAATGTGAAGAATAATATAATTAATGTTTACCAGACTTGTGTACAGTTGGTAGGTAACTCTGACCTAGTGGTCACCACCTGGGAGTGAGAAAACCTGAATTTGGGTCCAGGTTGGTCCACAAATCAAATGAGTAATCCTGAGCAGTCCTTTCATCTCCCTATGCCCTGAGACCCTCATTTGTAAAGTGAAGGGCTTGAATTCCACAATTTCAGAGGTCCCTTCTAGTATTTTTTAAATTATTATTTATTAATATACAGTTGACATACAATGTTATATTTGTTTCAGGTATACAGCATAGCAATTTGACATTTGTATACCTTACAATGTAATCACCACACTAAGTCTAGTGACCTTCTATTGATATCCTTTTAGTCTATGAATGTACGAGTAAGTCATTTCCAAAAAGGACTGGGGTTGTTCAACAGCTGCTGAATGAAAAGACCCAAGGTGCTTTCATCACACCCAAAGGCATGGATTTTTATTGGCCTGGGGGTGGGGTGGGACAAGAGGTGGTCTTTATATGATAAAGGAAAACAGTAAAGATGACAAGTTATTTGTTGAAGAATAATGGAGAATAATAAATCACATGTGAATAAGGTTAGAATTTTTTTAAATAGCTTTTAAATTTTATCTGGTTTTTATAACACATTTTTTTAGGAAAAAGGCCCATGAATAGGCTTTTTAAGAGCATATTTTGAAAATATCCTACTATGTCAATGCATTATTAATTTATGAAGAGTGGTTCATTTCTAGAAAAATGATCCCTGGAAAAATTATTATGGTTTGTCTCAGGTTATCAGTCTTATTGGAAGCCAGACATTTAATCCCTCAGGATTTTGTTCCTAAACTTTAAACATCTCTCTCCCTACCCAAATTTCTTCACCCTTTCATCTTTCCACATGTAAATACTGATAAACATTCACACATGCTTTTGGAGGAACTGACTCACAAATTTATCATCATGCAGACACACTGTCAAAAGGCTGAGAAGTGAGTGGAGCCTAAAATTTGGTGACAACATGGGATTGATTATTTAAAGCCTGCAGGTGGAGCAAATGGTGCTTTGTTTCTTTTCTTCCCAGACTTGTGTTTGGTGTGGTTCGGCCGATGCTCCACAAGGCTGCCAATCCACAGATGGGGAGGATCAAACCATGCAATGTTGCCCTCACTCCCTGTGTGTCTGTCTTCACTTTTTGTTTCCCCTCCACTTCATGTTCTCCTTCTCATTTGGTTGACTGTAAACCTTCAGTACAAAACAGCTATTGATGATACCAATTCTTGGTCAGGTTTAATGACATAGAAACAAAATCCCAGGATAAAATCGTTGAAATGGTTGTTTTCGATTGCAGCAGATGTTACAGACAACTCATATACTGCTTCCTGTTCTCATTCTGTGTTTTCTCCCTTAAAAGAGAACTTTTTCCATCTATTCTCATTCTATCTTTATAATGATTCTATGGGTGCATATGGCAGAGATAACTCTCTCTGAGAGATGGCAATAGAGATAAAGCGTAGTGCATTTGAATGCATTTTTTGAAGTCACCGAGGCAAGAGAAGGAACCAGTCCAGAATAGGAATCTCCTTACTCTGGCCCTCCTGTGATTTTCTACTACATCAGGATGTCCCAAATCATGAATTAAAAAAAAAAAAACAAAACAAAAACAAAAACTAATTGTTTTGATTTATGCTAGATCATTTCTCCTCAGCTTTAAGAATAGGACAGATGTCTAAAAATAACACACTTTTAGATTTAGAAGCATTATAGAAATATTTTATTAATTCCTGATGACTAAGGGTAATTTAATTACAGGACTTCTCTATTCTCAGTTTCGGAGACATTGTCAAGTTGGTTCATGGAGATGACAGATGGAACTACCTGTTTTCTGAGAAGGGGGAGATCTTTCCTCCTTTCTGGTTTGAAATTTTCCCACTCATCACTTTTAGGGATTGGGGAGAGAAATTTCAGACATGCTCTCTAACAGCCACTGTTACAATGTACAGGGTCCATGAGAGTGGAGTCCTGAAGAATCTCCTCTGGATTCTTTCATTAGCATAGATTGTTTTAATATATTTGCTAATTTCCAAAGTAAAAACATTAATCTCACAAACTTAGACATGGAAAAGAACATTTCAGAAGAGGAAATGTGCAGTAGGAAAAATGGCAGCTGGTATTACAAGGCCAGTGGGCTTTGGAAGCTTACTTTTCCCTGAGGCAATGCCTTATGAATGATAGGACCACAGAGGGCTGGAGGAGATGGAAAAGATCACTTGCCTAGATGTTTAGACAGTTCAGTACCCATTTCACCAGCTTCAAAGTGACCTTGTAATTTTCCTAAAAATTTTCATCAGTTTATTTATTTGTTTATGTCTTTATATTTCTCAATGGTCTTCCTTGAGTTATGCCACATAATTTTGTTCAAATATATCCCTAATTCCTATCCAAGATGAAAGTAGGATCTTATAAATATTTATTGGACTGAATTAAATTGAAATGAATAAATCGCTTCTATTTCTATTCAGGGGAAAATTGGGTAAGGGGCATAGCACTAAAAATGTCATCAGTGACACATAAAAAGACCATAAGAACCTAATAAAGATGATAGCACAGTTTTACACATGTTCTATGCTTAATAAATCCATAAATACTATAATAAATATAATATTTTACCTTCAAAAGATTTTCAGTTTGCTTGCAGAAGTGGGTGTCAGAAGGGTTGTGAGTTGTTGGGAAGTGATGGAGGCAATGTTGTTTGAAATTGAAGAATAAATTTAGATGTGCATAGGTGGGGTCCATCACATAGTTGTGAACTAACTGGGATATTATATGGTGTATGTGCACACATGTATGGAACACTCCTGTGGCTCAGTTCAATTAGTTTCAATTTTCTACATTCACCTGATGTTTCCTGATGATAAAACAGGCATAAGTAAATACAAAATTTGCATTAATGTTCAAATTATTTTCCAATAAATAGGGTAGCAGATTTATGTTTTCAGACAAGTGTGTTGGAGGTATGTATGCACCTTCCCTCACTTGCATCTTATGCCAAGAGAAAAGTGTCCCTAAGCTCTGCTTTCTATTCATGAAATGGCCATATCTGCTAAGATGGCCTTGCTGTGGTTTTTATGTTATTTCTCTTCAGTAAGGATCTGGCTCTGTTACGTGTTTGTCAAATATCTCAAAACATTTTTTAAACATTTGTGTTTGAGGAAAAACTCAAAATACGCTGTGCCAGTTAATTTTTTAACACATTTAACAAACAAAAATTTAATCCTTATGTTTCTCATTAATTTTCCTATAATTAAATGAAATACCACTCCCAAAGAATTTGTTGGATAAACAGCCCCATAATCATATGTATATTTTCTTTAAAAATACGTCAAATCGACTTTTCCTGAGAACGTTTAATACCATGAAGTTTACTTTCAAACTGAATAACACATTTCAAATTTCAAATTTCAAATTTGTTTTGTCAGAATTATGTCTAGGTTCCATGAAGTCATTTTGTAATGTCCTATAAGATCAGCTGTAAAGAAAATGGAAAAATGGGAAAAGAGTGTTAGTACTATTATATAAATTCCTTCCTTCTTTTTTTCCTTCTTTCTTTTTTTCCTTCACTATCCCATTCTTTCAACAAGATTTTATGGAAAGCCTATTTATGTATCAGATTCTTTTCTGAGGTTCTACAAAGAGCACACCACCTATGAGAGGATGCAAACAAATAAATGAAATAAAAAAAAAAAACTTTTAGATGACCAATATACTATGCAAAGAGCAGCATTCTCTACACGAGATTGAATGGCCAGGTGTCAGTGTCAATATGGGAGAACATATCTATGCTATCAAGACCACCTCTCTGCCCCTGGCCGCACCCTGTTCTGCATTTGGGAAGCATCAAAGATGACTTAGAAAACACACTTACCACATTTAGAGAAGGCTGGAAAGGTAACTACTGAAGTAAATATCAGATTCAAGATTGAACAAGATCAAAACTATTCTCTATTACTATGTGGAGAAGAAATAAATTATTAAAATTAGAAACTTATTTTCCAAAGATTTTTACACAACTGGGAATGAGATATTCTAAGTTATTCTATCCCTCTAGATACAACTATTACAAGAGTCCTTAGGGACTGAATGTGGGAGAGCAGTTAAACAATGTTTTCCCCTTTAATACAGAATAAGCTCAGTAGCTGTAACTTGAAGCTTTGCTCAAAGGATTAATTCAAGGAATGGTTGGGTAGTTGGGTTTTTGAATTAGATAAACCTGGGTGAGAATTCTGGCCACACGTTTTTAGTGTGTGACCTTGAACAAAATAAACTTAACATCTCTGAACTTTATCTAACTGTGAAGGTAAGTTATACCTGTTTTTCAGGATTGTTGTGAGTAGATGAAATAGCACATAGAAATAAGTCATGCTAGCCTTGTTCAGAGCAGGAGTTAATAAATGGTGGTGTATATTGCCACGATTCCTTTCTTTATGGACTGTCTTTCACTAAGAGAATTTGCTCTCTTCCTCTTTGATTGTTTCAGACAACTGTGATGACCCATTAGCATCCCTGCTCTCTCCAACGGCTTTTTCCAGTTCCTCAGACCTCACTGGTACTCATAGCCCAGCTCAACTCAACCGAAGAGTTGGTGAGTAGGGTGACTAAATCTCTAAAGCAAAGTGCTGAATAAGCATACAACAGGTAAATGGAAGAAACACTGATATCAAGCCCAAGATCACAGTTTAGAATAAGAATGGGAAGAGGGGGTTACGACAGAATGAAACAATGTTTTCCAGCACAAAAAGGATATTTCTTTATCAGCCGTAAAGAAAATGGAAAAATGGGAAAAGAGTGTTAGTACTATTACATGAATTTCTTCCTTCTTTTTTTCCTTCTTTCCTTTTTTCCTTCACTATCCCATTCTTTTCCTTCACTATCCCATTTTCCTTCAATATCCCAAAGGATATTTTTTGTGCTGGAAAACATTGTTTCATTCTGTTGTAACCTCCTCTTCCCATTCTTAGTCTCATGGGAGAACTTTGAGAAAATATTTTGTTTTTAAATTTGCTTTATTTTTAATGTTTCATGTTTGTAATATAAATAGCTACTAAAATATATTATTATAGTGTGTATAAATGAAATCTACCAAGATTTTCCTTTATAACTTCGTTTTAATAAAATTTAAATGTGCTGATTTTTAAAAATGTAAACTACTATTAAGTTGAAGTAGGAAAATATGAATAAAGTATAATCCTACTAACTAGAAATAGAGAGATACCCATGGTTAAATGTTGGGTGTGTATCTTTACAATGCATGATAGAAATAATAGCAGACACTCACTAGCTAATCTCTTATGTGAAATGCTTTTAACAAATATGATGTTGGATATCAAAATCAATATATGTTAAATCAGATTTGAATGTTGACATATACATATGTATATACATATGTGTATATACACACACACACTTATATAGATATAGTTGTACAGTTGATTTTTAACTTTTGAAGACTATCTGATATTTGTATATTTGTATATCTAATGAGTGTTATAAACTTTTCAAGTTAAAAATAATTTTGTACACAATTTCAATAGGTACACTGATCTATTAGAGTTTATACTAATTACTTAGTTATATTTTCCTATTATTATGTAGAGCAATCACATTAGTAAGTCTTCCAATGTTGAACTATCTTTGCATTCTGGAATAAATTCTAATTGATTGTTGCATTATTGATATTGTTTTTATAATGTACAGTATGATCCAATTTGTTAACATTTTAATTTATAGTTTTGAATCTGTTAATCAGAACTTGATTGCAATTTTCATTTTTATGTTTTTTGTTTCATACTACATTTTACAGGTTTTCTATTATAATGGGATCAATAATTTAAAAGTTAGCCAGTTCTATGCTTTGTTGAGCAAGAAGCTTAAAAATATTCTAAAGGGAAAAGAATGGAAAATCAAAGACCGAACAGAAAAATATAAACAACAATTTTGTATTAATACTGCCCTTAGCAGAATACAATGCGCCAAAATTTTTAAAAAGCAATTCACTTATGTTAAGGTATTTTGTCTTCACAAAAATACAATAAAGTAAATGTTATTACCTTTTACCTTCATATAGGGTACCTGAGGCTCGGAGAAGTTTTAAAACTTGCCTAAAATCAGAGTTAAGAAGGAAAATGCTTGGATTCAAAACTAAGTCATCTGAATCAAAAGTTTTCCCCTAACAATCACATCAGCAAATTAGTTCGTTAACATGGGTTAAATAAAGTAAAAAGACTTGGAAACTATCAACTAGAGTTCGAATACTGGCTATTGCATTTACTTACAAGCTCTGTGAGTATCCCAAAGCCGTTTACCTGCTCCCAGACTCAGTTCTTTATCTGTGAAGAACTAATATTTCCTGCCTTGCAGCATTATGTGTAGACAGAGACCAGACTTTCCCATGTTCAAAAGATCTTTCTCACTGTATGACAGAAAATTCCTCTGGAGCAGAGAGGTCCACTTATCATTTCAGGAAAAAACACAGGTTGGCAGATTTTAATATGGTCTCCAACAGGACGTCTATAGTCAGAGTTTGTCTCATCCCACTAAATTATGCAGTGTCAGAAAGTCATTGGTGCCTTATAGCTCCTTGGCAGTTTCTGAGGAAGCTGTGAGTCTGATCATAGGCCAGCTCCTCTCATAATGGACAGATATTGACAGGGCACAGATGTCTCTGCTCCAATTTACTATAATTGTCCTGCTTACAGGGGAATCTAGCCAGCCCGAGGCCTGCATGAGTGTATGCAGAGAGGAGGTTGACCTCTCTTCCTTTTCCCGGAGTCTAAATCAGGAAGGCCATTCAGGAGACACAGTCATAGTAATGGAATGTATTGGCCTAGAACTCATCCTCTAGCACAGCTCCCAGGACTGACAGCCTCCCTTGTAACACTAGACCCAGCCATAGTGCTCAGTGGGAATTAAACACAGAGTGAAGGAGGTATCAGATGACTGGTTCTCATCCAAGCACTGTACATTTGAATCATCTGGAGAGATTTACAAGTAGTAGTGCCTGGACTTATCTTCCAGTTATTCTGAATTAATTGTCTGGAATGGAACCCAAGCACAGATGTTGATAAAGTAAATAAATATAAGCTTTGCAAATGATTCTAAAATGCAACAAGAGTTACCAACTGTTAGATTGAATGAATTAGTGAAAGACAAAACCTTTTATTAATATTTTATTAATATTTATTGAGCACTTACTACATGCTAGGCACTGTATTAAAACCCTGGCACATAGTTGGTAAAGTAGCCATGCAACCTATTTATAAGGTTGTTACATATATAATGCATATGACCACATAATTAATTAATAGAAAACTTGGTAGCTAATAATATTGATATTATTATATTTTATATATATACAATATATATGATGTACATGTGTATATATACATACACATATAGTAGGATATATAGAGAAATTCAACTATATACATGTGGTTGGATATAAAGTCAGAGTATATATAGAGAGAGATATAGAGGTGGATATATATACATATTTCCATAAGTAATAGGATATATATATACACACAAGTAAATATGCATATATCTGTATATAATATGTGTATAATAATATGTACCTCTACATATACACACATATATAAAACATATACAGAATATATACATATATAATATATATTATAATAAAACAAGTTGTGTAAATGTTATCAAGAACGGATTTGTCATGTTTTCTAAATATAAAATTTAGAAAGTTAAAGATCAAACTAATTTTTATTTATATTGAAAATATCAGTATAAATAATGATTCATATTTCTTCTTCTAAAAACAGACTTATGTCCTATCTCCCCACTGAAAAAACCTAGAAGTAATTTTAGTCCTGCCTAATGAACACTCCTTTTCTACATGTCTTACTTTAAAACTTCCTTTTTATTTCCAAAGAGGAAAGACATAAAATATACCTCAGGGAAACAAAATATACCACATGGTTCGAAAGCTAGGAGACTCTCAGGTATACATGGAGCTTTCAAAGAACATCTTGGTTTTAATTTGAATTCTCCATATAGTGTTTTAAACAGCAAGTTCATAGCCAAATGCTAAATAAGTACTACTCTGTTATCAAGTTTGGCTCGTCCCTGAATGGTGGGATTTTATGCATAAGAGTTTATACTGTTATCAGCTTATGCCTATTGGCATACAACTAAAAATTCAAACAGTAATACACTATTAACCCAAAGAAAGAAGATACCTACCAAGGAAGGCTCCCAGTATCTAACTGAGCCAGCAGCCATTGCTAAACAGAGGTATCTCACACAAACCATGCTTTCAGCAGGGCCAAACTACCTGCCATCTGCACTGAACTGCCTGCCTATACTGTATCCTTGCTGTCTGAGTCAGCCCTTATAAAAGAGTTGCTGGAATCATATTTAACAACTATCCCCATAAACATCTTTATTGACTAAGTAGTGTGATGAAGGACAGTGCTTTTGGACCAATCGTATTGTGAGGATTTGGAGTCCTTATTTGCATGAAAATGAACCTATCAGGTATCAGAGGCAGGGACTTCTGGCTGTATAAGTCTGCTCCCCTCTGGCTCAGGGAGCACATTTTCTCTTTACATTGAAGACTGCATTTTCTAGGCTGGAGCTGAAACATTGAAGACATCTTGCCAGAGCAGAACTGTCTGGCTACTGACTGGCCTCACTCAAGAGCCACCTCACCCAGGGACCCCCTCAAAGCTATACTGTTCCACAGCCATTCAGTATTATAATTGAACTGTAACACTATTGAACTGTCTCACAACCATGTTGTTCTGCAGCCATGCTGTATCACAATTGAGCTGTTTGCATTGAGTGAAATTTCCTTCTTTATCTCAATCTGAGGACTCCTGTTGGTATTGCATTGGTGCCAATGACCATTGATTGACAATACTTAGCACTTATTGTAAGCCCTCAATGTTCTAAGTTCTTAAGGTACATCAACATCATTTTTATAGTTGCCATCCATGCAGATATGATTGTTATCTCTGTCATAATTAAAAAATGCATTCCAGAGAGAGGGAAAAATGAATATTAGAATAATAATCCTAGGTAGATACAAACCTAGATAATATCTTACGAGGTAATAAGATCTGGGGCTTAGATCTTCTCTATTAGACAAACATTTATAGGTTAACATGTAACTTCACAATATCTAATGTATAATTAACCAGCGAGTAGCATAACCAAATGACAGATACATTCTCCTAGAAACTTAAATAATAATTGAGTAAACTTGTTAAAAATTACCCCAAAAAGACATTGAAAAGACACATTGTACTCTCTTTTGATTTCTAAGTTTGGGGTAGTTTCCTATTAATCTACTCCATTCATTTATTCATTCACTTATCACAGTATTTCATGAATTTTTTTCTACCTCTGTCATTCAGCCTTCTACAAACTTGTTAAGGAACTTCCTGGTATTCTACCCAAGACGAAATTCGAATTGTAAAACACTTGACTTCCACAAAACTAAGTCTTTTTGATTGAATTGAATGTGCTCAATGGCATCCTTGCAGCTCATTACTGCTCAACTATTTCACAAAGATGAACCCTGCAAGTCTTCTGGCACCATTTAGAATTGCCAAATCTCCG